ACTGTTTGTCCCCGTGGTTTTATGCGCCCCGCTTAATTTAGCAAAATTTGATCATTTTTTGCATAATTTCTGATTATTTTGCTTTATCATTCTTTGTTAAAATTAACAGAATCGCATAATTTCACATTTTTGGGCTCAGTTTGCATAATTTCAGAATTTTTCTAGCATAAAACGACGGGGACAGATCTGTTGTGTAGCTGTGGGGCGTTTTCTTGTTGCATGAAAGAGACCCAAGTTCTATTCTTGAGGGGAGAATCATCCGCTGGGATGTTGTGTCTCTCTCAGCTTGGGTTGGTCTTTACTGGCAGTGGCAGGGTGGGAAGCCCACTTTTTTAACATCTCCACTTGAATAACTTACCGAAAAATCTCACGAACCAAGTTTTTCAACTAACATTTTAAAAATATTTGGACTACCATCTTCAACGAAAGTGGAGACGAAGAAGGAAGTGGATTATAATACATATTATAAGTCAACAGACAATCCAAGGGAAGGTATTCTGTTGATTCTTGTTCATTTTTCTGCTTTATTTAGAAGATCCATATTATAGTGACATGTGGTTGCATATATATGTGGTCACCTTCGCTGACTATAAAATGTATTATATATCTATCTCTAATTTGTATCATATATATAGGCTACAGGGGAAACCTGATATGTATAACAGGAATGTTGGGACCAGAGAAAAAGTCATGTTATATCAGATCCCTGTTAAATCAGAAAGGCAAGGGAAGTAAGCATTTGTTGACTAATCCAGCTGTATTTATTCATGGGTAGTTTCCCATGGCCTGCGCATGACACATTACGCTTGCGTGTAGCTAGGCTTAGGGCTTGTTTGAAGTCTGCAGCACACCACAGCCCTCTCTTGCTTAACCCGCTGCGTGTGCTTGCAGTGGCATGGCTTGCGTGGGCTTGCTCCATCACTGTTTTACTCTCTCTCTCTCTCTCTCTCTCTCTCTCTCTCTCTCTCTCTCTCTCTCTCTCTCTCTCTCTCTCTCTCTTTTTCTTTTTTTTAAAACTCATTGTTAACAAGCTTTTGTCCCTGCTATGACCGATTTGGCTCCGATGAGGCCCTATTCTTGCCGATAACTTGTAATAGAGGCAAAGAGTAGGAAAAAACGGGGATTTAAAAATCCCTGTTATTACCGGATCCCTGTTATTACCGGGCCTGTTATATATGGTTTCCACTGTATATAAATATATTTTTTATTTATTATTATATCAGTCACAAAAGCTTTTCAATTGAGAATTGGTCTCTTTTAAGCACAATGTGGCTATCCCGAAAAATGTTTTTTTGAGAAAATCAACAAAGGTAAAGTTTTTGCCCCTTGTTCAGTTTCTGTAAAAGACAAGAGAATTTTCTCTTATAACCAAACAGATATATACACACCAATGAAACTAAACTTCTCCTATAGGTAGGGCAATACCAACTTTTTGTGTACGTCAAAATTTCTGGAAACCCCCGAAATCTGGGTTAGCCCGCTTGTCCTTAAAAGCGACCAATTGTGCATGCAGGTATTAGGTATACAGTATTTTAAATTTTTATATTTGAAGCAAACGAATCAGTAATGACTGATTGTGTATTGTTGATTTCTTCTGACTCTGATGTATTTTGCTTGTTACCATTTAGTTTAGTAGAGATTAAAAACAGTTTCTTGAACTGAAATAATGTGCATTGTGTCTATTTCATTTAATGTAATATAATAGTACATTTATGTCATTTTTGTATTTTAAGAAGTTTGTTTGTTTGTGTGTGTGTATGTGTGTGTGTGTGTGTGTGTGTGTGTGTGTGTGTGTGTGTGTGCTCTACTGTTAGTGCTAGTCAAACCGAACCTTCTCGCATAAAAGTCAAGGGATTTGCCCTTCAATTTCTTTTCTCTTGGCTTGGTACATATTATGTACATGTAGGCCCTAGTGGTAGGGTTCGAACTTCTTCAAATTCTCAAATGGCACCACTGGCAATTGTTTCTAGTGAATATGTGTGTGTGTGTGTGTGT